TGATAGGGTTTACGCGGTTCCTGCAATAGCTGGTATAATCTTTAACATGTGCAGTTTGTCCCATTTTGAGATTGGTTTCTTGGAGACATAGTACGCTGGGTTGTAAGTTGGAAAGGATTCGTTGTAAATCGGTGCTTCGTTTGTAGAAGCCATCTAGATTCCATTGTATGATATTGGTCATTATGATAAGGAAGTGGGGATAGATTTTGAGTAGTGTTTTATTGGTTTGATTGATTCAGGTTGGAAGTCTGCGGGGTTCACTTTTCGGGGGGAGGTATAGATTGGAATAGAATTTGAGTTAGTTTAGATATTTTGTTTTTAATTTTTTTTTCCACCATTAGTGGTAATACTTTTTCGGCCATATCAAGGACTTCAGTGGCATTGGATCCAACACTAATGCATAGTTCATGTATATTTAAATTTTTGTTCGTGAAGTTTTCTAGAATATGTTTGAAAGTGATTAGATTAAGGGAGGAGTCTTTATTCTGCAGGATAGCCGTTGCTGGCTCGAGGAGGTTATCTAATATTTCAGTGGTTCTTGTTAAGGAGTTTGATCTTGATCTGACTTTAATTTTTTTTATGGTTTGGTTTTTGGACTTTATGTTTTTGGCAGCAGATGAATCCTTACCTAACTCAATTATGTCGTTGGTCAACGTGGGGGAGGGAGGCGCTGACGGGCATGTGGATTCAGGGGCCGGCCTTTTGAAAGTAGCTTGGAGTGGTTGTGAGTCCGATATATCATCGTAATTATCGTCTTTGGTGAGTTGTGTATTATTTGTGTTGGATATTTCGCTAGAAGTTTCTAGAGGTAGATCAGGAGTCATGTCCATACTATTGGTTTTTTCGACAATATGATGGGATGAGGTATTAGTGGATGTTTGTCCATTTGAGGTGTCCATATTTTCTGTCAGAGGGGGAGTTGTGTATATCATCTTACAAGAGGATGATACATGGCCAGGTTTTTTGCATAAAAAGCAGGTTACGATGTCATCGGTAATGAATATACGATATGAGGTGTTTTCGAGGACAATAACGATCGATCCAGGTAGTTTTGGGAAGTCTTCAGGACTGATGTACAGTTGTCTGCGGAAGCTTGTGATATGTGCGAATTTATCGAGCGGGAAACCAGCTTTAAGCGCCGTGATTGGAGATGTTATCTTAATACCGAATGTCTCTATCGCCTCGATGATAGATTTATTTGGAATAGCGGGATATACGTTCGATAAAATAATGCGTTTGGCCGGGTTAATTAACTTGCGTATCGGTACCTCAATGTTATCAACGAATATGGCCGAGTGCTTGTTAATGATGTCATTAGTAATCTGTTGGTTTTTGAAGAAAACACAGAACCTGTTATTAGATATGCGCGAAGCGGAGATAATGTTGGTTGCGTCAGTAATTTTACTGAGCGCAATTATGTATTGTATTTGTTTAATTCCGTCGATTGAGTTCATAACGATAGCTTGGTTCATTTTTGGTATGAGAGAGTTGGCTGTTGTTTCAGCGAAACTTTTAACTTGGGAGCTGTCTATTGGATGATTTGAGGTGGGTTGAATGTTGTTGGTATCATTGACGATGAGGTTGTCTTGAGTTGAGGTGGTTTTGGGTGGGGGGATAGGTGTTGAGTGTTTGGACGCTAATAATTTATCATTAAGAGATAGTTTATTTGGGTTTGAATTTAAGTTGCCCGATGTTGTAGGCATTATTATTAGTACGCGTTATTATTCCATCAATCATGATCAAATTTATAGAGTGCACTTTTACCGGATAGTTATCGGATCCACCGTGATAGTTTCAAACATAATTGTGGCGTGCAACGTCGTTCCGTGGGGACGATCGGCCAGAGGTTCACTGAAACCCAACTGTTGAAATTTGAAAACCAAATACTTTCCACGAATGGGGTTGACAACTGTCCGACCCCAGACCGTACGATTTGTCTCCTACGGTCATCTGTCTATAATCTCTCAAAACTCACATTACGCGACTGAACGTCGATACCTGTCTTGCTGAACCTGAAATTCGCATTCAACTTGCAGTGTATTCCAACATTTTTTTTAGTTACATGATTATGAAATGTAGAATAAAAAGCAATAAATTAATTTGGTTTGGGTGAACACGTATTTTAATATTATTATTTTTATTATTTTTTTTTTATTAGTTCATTGTCTCGCGTGATATTTACGAGGTCACCACACCCGAATTTGTATTGTATTTAGTGTTCGTTTTACGAATACTCTCGCGTTTAGCAGTTCACGTTTAATTTTGTTACATATTAGAGTGAATCGACCTATAATTTAATTACAAATGCATGATGTTATATATGAATATGTTTTCGTAGAGGGTTTTTGTCAATATTTAAATTTTTTAACTATATTATGTTAGAACGTACTTGTACGCAAACCAATAAACAATTTTAAAATTGTAGGTAGTTATTTTCTTTAAACGTTTAAAATTAAAATATCAAAAAAAAAACTGCGAGAAAACACATATTATAATGTTAGTACCTTTTAATAATATGATAATAGACCATTTCACAAATAATAGACAAATTTTCTTTTACATGTCTGTACGGATACAATGGAAGCAGGTGTTTTCTTGAAATCTTAAATAATAAAAAATAACACTTTACAATTTAATACGACAAGATAACTATGGACATTAACAGTTAACACTTCATACTATTCAAGACGTATTATAGTTATCAGCTGTATCGTTATTATGATCCAACAAAATCGACAGCAGTAACCACGATGGTAAGCGGTTTGTACTTGTTCTCGGTTTCGACGCTGCTACTGCAGTTGATCTGTCAGTAGGTGTCGCCGGTAGAAAGCGCCATAATAATGGCAGTGGAAACAATAGTGGGGGCAAGGGCCATTGGAATTTAAAAATTATGAGCTAAGTGCATGAATCGTTAAAACGGTTAAGTCGTCAAGTCAGTCGTTTATTGAACGAGTATGTCATTCGTCATAAAGGATCACCTAATTTGATGTATCGTGGTTTAAACCTTATACGTGCTCTACCAATATTGTCTACTGGTCGTAATTTCTGTAACGTTTAGTTTTACTTCTCTAATCTTATTAAACGCCCATAAAGTGTTAAAACTTGTTTTTAAGTACACTTTGAAATACACACAGAGGTGAATTAGGTTGAAAGTGTTTTGGAATTAGTTTGTGTTAATTGGAAGCTATTAGTTTTTCATTTAGAGATAGTTTGGTACCTAAGTAGAGTTTTGCGAATTTAAACACTTATTGTGATTGACGGTTTCTTATTTATTACTAAAAAACACCGTTATTACTAGTATTTTAATTTAATTTAGATAAGCAGTTTACCGTATTTTTTTATACATGATGTATGAAAAAATAATATTACTAATTTAGGCAATTTCTATCGAAAGATAAAAACGCAGATGCGATAAGGTTACATACAATAATTGCTCGGTCGCGAGTTAATCACTAACAGAGATAATGTTAATACGATTAAGTTTGATATTAGGTCAATTCACTCTAATATTTAAGGTAACAACATAAAATTGGTTCTCCTGAACTTAAATTTGAATGTTTTATCATTGTACGACGGATATAACACACGCATAGAACGTTTTATATTATTTACTTGTAGGCTGTAGCATTCTCAAGTAATGCATTAGGTGAGACCAGTTAAATTTAGACAATTATTAATTTTAACGAATATATCATATTTATAATTACCTAAATTATAAAAAATTCAAATAGATTATTATTTATATTTCGGTGCATGTATTGCATATAATATGTAGCATGAATTTGATAACCATATATATATTACAGTAAGTAAAGATTCTATCTTCTTCATGGTTCCATAGTAGTACCTGATATTCTTGCCAGCATTAACTGGGTACCACGGTACCTTCATATATCTCCATAAGTCAAGCACCATTCCATGTTTCATCTCATTCCACTTCCTATGGTCATAACTATTCAATCCACAGACTTCTTCGCTCCCTCAATAATGCTTCTATAACTTACCATCATGTTTTTTCCCTTAAATAATCTTTACCAAAATAATTTGCTATGTATATTTTTAGAAAAAAAGGGGGAGGGGGGTTTCTCGTTTGGAAAATAAAAGTTTCTATCGCCACAGGACTTACTACTTACGGGTACAAAAAAAAAATAATATCAGGAATTTGAAAATATGGCTAGTAGGTATACTTAAAAATCAGAAATTGAATGAAACATGTACTATTATAAAGGAAAAAATGGGAGTGGGAATGTTTAAAAAATCACCCTGTATAATATATTAGGTTTTTTAAATAATTACCGTTAATATAAAATAAATGTTATGTCTAGATTGTATCATATGCAAAATATATTGTTGGTTAAGAATTAGTTCGTGGAAGTGATATGTCCTCGTACGACATGAGTACATGACTAGGTACCTATATTTCCGCTTCGAAGCGGGTCAAGGTTGCGTTCCAAGACGGTCGCCGTCCCGTGCGTCCTCGCGATCCGACGTTGTTGTTAGTGCCTGTTTTATAGTCTATTTTTGCGTGCCGTATCTTAATTTCGTGACGACGATATCATAATAATGTTGTCACGTCGGAATGTGCTCTCCCCCGCCGTCGTTGCTGATCCACATTCAATTATTATATGGAAATCCGTAAGCGTTCTCATGCTCTTATCGAGCATAATATAATGTTAACTCTTTGAGGGGCAAAAATTTCCTTTAGAAAAAAGACCCATGGGGGCAATATGTCTCTTTACCATATCATTTAGTACGTATATCAAAATATTGATAATGATAATAAATGATGAAAAACGCGAGAAATGATATCAGACCAGCGGCAGTGATATTGTTTGATGCATGTATAAGATGATAATAAGGTGATTGGTATGCTGACCATCATCAAAAAAATATTAAAAATAATTTTAAAAGTGGTTAAAATAGTAACCACCGCACCTGAACGATAAAAAAAAAAGTGGTTAGCATACCAACCACGGCCCCTCAAAGAGTTAAGTTGAAAAATGCCGCACGTGTACTTCTCAAAAGTGTGCGCGAGTTACGTCTCCGAGCGCTCATGGTACGATAGCTACTCACGACTCAGTTCGTTCAACTGCATTTGTTCGGATACCGCGCCAAGTGCCTTCGGCGTGCGTTGTGAATACAGAAATAAAGTCATTATCCGTGAAAATGGTACCTATATACTCCATATTATAAAAAATATCATTTTGGCTAAATTGTTGTGGTTTTTTTTATTTCAAATTTATTTGTCCACACGTTGATATAATAATATTGTGTTAAAATTACCATTGTTGGATACCGATAATCAATTGTTATTCACTGCAAAGCGTAGTTATACCGAATGAAGCTTAGTATACCTCAAAATAAACGATTATAGGTAATGTTATCACTCTTGGATAACACGTGCACTGATATAATATTTAAGACAATGCTTGATAGGTAACGAAAAATTAAACTGAGGATTTTGTATTTAATGTTCATCGATTATCACAATTCATGACATTACATCTTATTGATAAATATATAATATAATATAAATTAATCAGCGGAAATTACAAACTTCCACTTTTAATTTCCGAGATTATTATTAATTAATTCCGTTAAATTATTGAGAAGATAAAATAAAATGAACCAGCCGTTATTAATAGATATTTGTTTTTACCTATTTACTTGATTTATTTTAACATTTTTAAGCAATTCTTTTTCTGGACATTGAGATCATATCTCAACTATAATATAATCACTATAATCACATTATATATACGACATAATGTCATAATAACTGGTACTTTTTTTTTTTTTTCAAGCCCCACTGAACATGTTCGTGTTGGGGCATGTCGAAGAAAGAGACAGATCCAAGGACTGGCATATGGATTTCTACAATCCTAAAAATAAATATGTGTCATGTATATGTACGTATAAATTGTAAAATACAGAAGTGCGTTTATAATAATGGATTCGTAAAAAAAAAAGTTCTAGTTTTGGCAATGAAGTCGGTACGTATAATAATTGTCATTTAAATAAACATAGTAAATATGTTTTCGTTTTGTACTCATTCAAAACACGTGTAATTGTGATGTAAGCTTAGTAAGTTACAGCGATAATGTCTCATCGTTTGTTCAAATATTCACAAAACTTTTGGGTCTTTAAACTAAACACACTGGGCATCCTAGGCGTAGTTGAGGGTACTCGTATAATAAGACTATACCTTGCTACTACTAGGAAGTTCTGTGTGTTTACTCTAAAGAGCCGAAAAGTTTTGTAAATTATCGTAGAATAGGTACAATGTTCTATTACGAACGGCTGTGCACAATATAATAATCGTTCGAAAGTAACAAAGAAGTCGAAACGGCATTGAAAACCAGTTTTAGCTAAACAAACGAGCGAGCAGTAGGCAGCGGGCATAATAATTGTTATGTAAATTGCCGTATGTACCTTGATTGAGAACTCGATGACACACATTAAATTATAATTTATAATGTTATTATACTAATAATATGAAAAAGCTTCGGACCTATATAGGTATGATGTAAAATGTAAAAATAATGTTAGAACGCTCCAATATTGTTCGCAATATATGTTAACATTGTTAACAGTGTGGTCACAGTGCGTAATAGTGAATAAAAATACATGTGTAATATTGTGTTTCCGTCAAATGCATCATAACGTGAGCGCCGCCACTGCAGTCCTAGTCCGGAGCTCATCGCGCTCGCACAAACTCGCATAATAAACTCGCGATCCATATAGCTGCGATACCTATATAATATTATTATAACAGTTATCCATACGAAAGTATCGTAACCCAACCGGACCGCATTTACCGTAAAAAAAAAATAAATCCAATGGCGACGATGAAAAGACAAACCGTGCAGGTCTCGCTGTCGTTGTGTTTGTGCTGGTTGTCGGTTGTCTTGATTCCGGCAGGAGAGGCTGCACGAATACTGGCCGTCGAGACGATAGCGGGCAAGAGCCACTGGTACTTCATGAGCTCGGTGCTCAGGTCGCTGACCGACGCCGGACACACGGTGACCGTTTTCACGCCATTTCCAGACGGCGACCGGGCCAACTACACGGAGGTGGATACGTCCCGCGACTTCCCGTTGAAGCTCGATTTGGACGTGATGCACACGATCCAAGCATATAGAGATCCGTTCAAGTTAACGAATCTCGTATCCGTGCTGGCTAGATTCTTCTGCGACGCGGTCTATGGCAACCGGAAGCTGACTGATCTGATAGCTTCCGGTGCACGAGACCAGTACGACTTGCTCTTGATCGAGCCGTTGGGCTTTGACTGCGTTTCGTACCTGGCAGACGTGCTCAGTCTGCCTGTGATCTACTCGATCCCGTCGCCGATGATCACCTTCACCGAGCGGCTGTTCACCGGACACTTGACCAACCCTGCTTGCGTGTCCCACTTGTTGGCCAACCACGCCGTGCCTGGTACATTCGTGCAGAGGTTCACCAACACTGCGCTGCTGACGTACAGCATGGCCAAGACTAAGTACGACCAGCTGGTCACCTTGTTCACGGACCCGAGACCTTATGACTTGGCGCCGACCGTCAACCCGTCTATAATATTCCAGAACTCTCATTACGTCACCGAGTCTCCGAGACCGATCACGCCGAACGTTATTTACGTGGGTGGCATACACCTAAAACCCGCCACAACAATACCAAAAGTGAGTGATTGATAAATTACTGTAGGGGGATTACACACCTCCGTTTATTGGAGAATATACACTTATACATGCGTTCCAACGTACTCATTTGAGTTTCACTCCAATAACAATATTTAATCTTTTATTTATATATATATATAATATATATATATTTTAACACGACAAAACCATACCAAAAGTAAGTTGTTGATAAGTCACCGTGTTATATCTGCTTTATTTGTTATCGCGTGTGTGTATAGAAATGTTAGATACTGGATATATAATTTTTGAGAAATTTCTAAGATTATCGAAAATATCACACGAAATTTCCGATATTATAATATTCTGTGAAATTGTCAAGTCTTCGCAGTTTGATATTCATTTTTGAAATAAATCAAAAATAATTGATTTTGTCAACAACTGGTTTTGCGTCAAAATGTCGTTTTCCCAATTTGTATTATTGTGACCGAACGAAAGTTCTGGACAATTTTGACTTTTAATGTCCAGAATACCAGATATAGATTTAATTTGTTACAAAAAACCACAACTTATTGAAATTGAATTTCCACATTTTTTTTTCTTTTATGTTTCACAGAAATTTTTTTAAATTTCAGACAAATTATAATTTGTCATTTGATATCACCTAATATTATACAAAACAATTGGAACTATTTGTGACTCTCTGATTGAACATTGGTACCTATATAGTGGATAATACGGGGATGATTTTTATCCAGTTATTATATCTTCAACTAAATACAACCATGAAAATATACTCACTCACATATGTTATTTTAAGATATCCTATTTTAGATAAATTCACATTTTTTTTTTTTGTAATATTTCTGTAATTATTAATTATTATGATAAAATATTATGAAATTAAATCTGATAGATCAATCATCATCATAAAAATGATCGATACGGTTAAGCCTAAAACCACGCATATTATGATGATGATGTACACGAATTTGTTATGACTTCTGAGTTTATTTACTATAAACGCTTAAAAAAAAAAAAAAAATTAAAATCATATTTTATCATCTATTACACAATAATTACCTGCCAAACAATTAATTATTAAATGTAAATATACATTTACTATCACATACTAGTGATTATAGAATATAATATTGTTACAAGTCACCGACATCCGAATTATCGACAGGTTAAAATCTCGACGTTTGAAACATGATTACAAATAGGTTGCATAATATAATGATTATAGTTAAATAAAATGTATTAAGTAAAGTAAGGAAAAATTATTAAAGCAGAAACTATAAAAATATAAGAATGTATGTAATATATAATATAATTAGCTATAAAAATATTAGAATACAAAGTCATTAACAGTTTAAAAACCTATTATTATCTTGATTTATTATTACATTTGCATAATGAATAATAATGTTGGAAAAATTTTTTTAATTTAATTATTGGAAGTAATTAATTAGGCCTAGGTACTAAATAACTTTATAGGTGTAATAGTGTAATACTACAGCACAATATGAACTAATTCAAAGTAAACTTTAATGAAAAAATAATTATATTAGGTTGGAGTAGTAACTAGGATAAGGAAATTTATGATCTTATAAAATCTAAAAATATTGCATGTAGATATGTCCAAAAGACATCAAAGTATTCCTAGAAAAAATCAAAAATTACATTATTTAATAAGTTAAAAATTGTATTACACAGTAATTAGTATTTACTATTCATTCAAAACAATAGTATTCATTTTTAATAACAACCAATAAAACCTAGTTAAAAATAACTAACCATTTTTATAGTATCAATATTTTTTTTAATTATAATATAAACAATTTACATATTTTCTAATTTTTTTTTAAATAGTTATGATTTTTAAAAATGTTTTTAAAATCTAATGACTAAGAAAAATTATTTACGGTGTATACAATTTACGTAAAATAGTCTACGGTATAAAACAATTTTTTAAGACAATATAATAAGTGAATACCTAAATGTTTATATTTAAATTTACTTAAGAGTTTTTGAAAGAATAAAAAAAGTTATGTAAGTATTTGTTGCTCTGCTGTACAACAGTAGGGTACAAGTAAGTCACTGTTTAATGAATGTTATTAAGTTTGAATTCAATGATATATATCATTATATATATATCATTGTATACGAAAAACGATTTTGAGCTCGGAGATGGTTTGTCAGTATGGATTTTTATACGATATTTCTGTTGTTATTATACTTATTATTAATACGGTAAGTTGAATTAATATTATAAAATTACAGCAAAGTAACTAAAATCATTATTCTTGGTTATTTAATATGTAATTTCGTCCAAATTTGAATATAAAATAACTATAAAAAAACTGTGTTATTATATTTTTGAGATTTTTTGGTTATAAAATGACTTACATACGTGGAACATTGTTTTAAATTTTAAATCCTTAGCTATAGAAGGTGAACATTTTATACATTTTTAACTACAAAATCATTTTTAAATTTTAAATTTAATAAATGTTGTGAAAAATCGAATTTCAAATGCTCATATAAAAATATTGTGCCTATGTATTTTTATTATTTTTCAACTACTATTGTAACAATATACTATGAGCCTTGTATCCAATTTTCAAACTTTTAGACCAAACGAATAAAATTGTATTGACATTTATAGAAAAAAAAACTAAAAAAAGGTGCTCTGCTGTACAGTAGGTTACAAGTGGGTCACTGTATAATGGATGGTATTAAATTTGAATTCAATGATTAAATATCATTGTATAAATTAATTTTTAATTAATAATTTTTTTTGATAAAGGTAGATAAACTTATGAGGAGTCTTGTATTACATTTTCAAATCTTAAATTTAATAAGAAATTTTTTTATGAATTTCTAACTCATAATAATATGCAAATATTCGTCATTTTTACGTTATTTTGTCGATATTTGAATTTTAAAGTTTAAATGCTTAAAAAAAAAAACTGTGCCTATGGATTTTTAATTTTTTTCATCTGACTTTGAAACAATATACAGGAGCCTTCTGTTAAATGTTCAAGCTTTTTTAACCAATAAATAAAATTTTATTGATATTTATAGAAAAAAAAACTAAAAATGTCCATAAACAGCTCAAAATGAGGCAAAATATTTGGAAAATGTTATAGTGTAGGTATAGAACATGCTAAAATAAACATTCAGTCAAAATTGCATGTACCTAAGGTAATTTGTTTAAGAGTTGCACCAAAAACCAAAATTGATATTTTCGAAAACAGAATTTGCGTAAAAATTCCCGTTTTCCTTAATTTTTCTTTTGTTTTTCACGGCGCTTATGAAAACTACTGGAAAAATTTACTTTTAACCCCCCAAAGTACCACCTCGATTCACTTTCTTATCAAAAAAGAAACTGTGGAAGAAAGTCCAAGCTCTTTTACTGTCCTAAAACGTGATGACAGACACAAAAAATAAAAAAAAATAAAAAAATTACACACATCATTGTAAAATCAATACATTCATCGTTCTAAAATTGGAAACTGAAAATGTACGTCAACTACTCAAAACCAGTCAAAATATTTTGAAAAGTTTATGGTTAATATAGAAAATTCTAGTATAAACTTCAAGTGAATATTTTATGTATCTTTGGCCATTTGTTTTAGAGTTAAACCAAAAACCAAAATTTATTTTCTCTCAAACCTATAAATACCGTTTTCCTTAACTTTTATTTTGTTTTTCCTTGCACTTTTAAAAACTATTGTGAATTAAAACTTTTAACTCCCAAATGCACCAACTAGATTCACTTTCCCATCAAATAAGATATTGTTGAAGAAAATCGAAGCAGTTTTACTGTCCCAAACGGTGTTGAAAGACACAAAAAATAAAAAATAAATAAATAAAACATTTCAATAAGAAAACACACATCTTTGTAAAATCAATACATTCATCGCTCCTCTCAGAATCTAAAAATAATTATTTTGAATTCAAAAACCTAAATTGTATTTCTTTGTATAGTTATACATATGAATCATGTTGTTTAATTAAGTAATATTATTATTTTCGATTCAAGGACATATTAGATTTTATTGAAGGCTCACCCCAAGGAGTAATTTTCTTCACATTTGGTTCAACCATTAAAGTATCATCGTTGCCGGAACATATTGAACAGTCGTTCAAAGAAGCTTTAGCCAACGTTCCTCAGAGAGTTTTATGGAAATACGAAGGTGAAATGAAAGACAAACCGAAAAACGTGATGACGAGAAAATGGTTTCCTCAACGAGAAATACTATGTAAGTACATTTTATAATAAACTAGTTGATCCCGCACACTTTATTGCCCGTGAAAAATGACAATTCTTAAAAAAATTATGAATCTTCAACTCCTTTTGGATGCAATTCGCTGCAACTCTACCACCCTGGTATTAAAGTGCAACAATTCGATTTGCTGCAAGCTTGTACCTAATCTAACCAATTAATCAATGGCAACATATAAATTAATAAATATTTGTTATTAAAATGTTCTAATAATATTTTTAAACAAAAAATTGCAGTCTGGTAAACCTCACAAACACACACAAAAAAAATGTCATCAAAATCGGTCCAGCTGTTTAGGGATGTATAAAGGACAGATATACATAATATATAGATAAAACTATTGTCATTTGTTTAAAATAAAAAATAAAAAATAAAATAATTTTTTTTACAGTGCATCCTAAAGTGAAACTGTTCATCAGTCACGGAGGTATGTCCGGAGTGTACGAAGCTGTGGATGGCGGTGTTCCAGTACTGGGATTTCCAGTATTTTATGATCAGCCGAGAAACATTGAAAATTTGGTCCTCAATGGAATGGCGATATCCATGGACCTGTTGTCGACGACCAAAGAAAAACTGTCCAATGCCATTTCGGAACTCATCAACGACGAAAAGTAAGCCTTTGATGATAATATTATTTATTACGAATGAGACATTTCTCTACCACTCGTTTTCAGTTATAATATTATATTTTATATTATATGATATTATCATGTGCGTATATTGTTTATAGATACGCGAAAAATGCTAAAATTGCTTCCAATCGTTTCAAAGATCGACCGATGACACCACAACAGTCGGTCGTATATTGGACGGAGTATGTAATCCGTCACAAAGGGGCACCACATTTGAAATCTCACGCTCTGAACCTCACTTGGTATCAATATTTCCTATTAGATATAATGGCCGTAGCTTTTATTTTCGTTTTTCTAGTGACATTCGTACTCTTTAAAATTTTCAAATGTATAAAATCTTTTAAAAACGACAAAGTTAAAACTCAATGAGTCTAGTACTCAACGATTATCATGATATGTGCGATACTGCACTGTTGAATACGAATCATGGAATCATAGAAAAAAATTAAGTGCCCCCCCCCCTCAAAAACAATTTTCTGGCTACGGCACTGATTACTATATTATTGTCACTATTATTTGAATATTTTTATTATATATATTGTTATAACTATTAATATTATTTTGATATAAGAGTTATCGTTGTTGTGTATCCGCCAATAGACGGATTACTAAAATAAATATAAGTGCAATCGAAAAGAAAAAATGTAGCAATTAATCAGCATAATTTAGACACCATTGTTCTCCTCCGCTCCCAATTTCCGAGATAAGTTATTTAATTCCGTTAAATTTTTAAACGATTAAATATTAATTAGTCGTTACTTAATACAATTTATTTGAGATATTTTTTTTTATCCTATCAATTTAATTTATTGTAAACATTTTTAGGTAAATTGTTTGGTTTTTAAGACATTAAAATGCTATCTATATAGTAACAATATAATCATTAATCACTATAATGATATCATATAACATAAAAAAATGGAAGAAGGGACAGACTCAAGGACTAGCGTAATAATAGATATTCATCATGTTTATTGTAAGTACCATAAACGTATGAATAATATTTATTCATATGTCTTTGGTAAGTACGTATTTACTACAATACCGCGTATACTTATAATGGAGTAGCAAAAAAAAGTTATATCTACAACTGCAATAATTATTTTCTACGTAATTTGATTGATAACACTTTATCGTATACACTTATAATATTATTATACTAATACGTTAACGCTTCGGATACCCAATAATTTAGGTATGATGTAATATTAGTTATATATTAGTTCCAATCCGGAGCTCTTCGATCGCTCACAAAGTCGCATTATATACGTGCGGTGCTAATACCGTCAATACCCATGTTATACACTTATACCTATTACTTATACTTGAATATCGTAACTCAATCGGACCGTAGACCAAATAACTGTACAAAAAACAAATTCCTATATGACGACGGTGAAAATGTCGACCATGGTCTGGCTATCGTTGTTTTTGTGGTTGTCGATTGACCTGCGGATGATGCCGGCCGGGGAGGCTTCCCGAATACTGGCCATCGAAACGATAGCGGGCAAGAGCCACTGGAACTTCATGAGCTCGTTGCTAAGGTCGCTGACGGACGCCGGACACACGGTCACCGTTTTCACGCCATTTCCAGATGGCGACCGGGTCAACTACACGGAGGTGGATACGTCTCGCGAATTCCCAATGAAGCTTGATATGGACGTGATGCAGACGATCCAAGACTATAGAGATCCGTTCAAGTTAACGAATATCATGTCCGTGCTGACTAGATTCTACTGCGACGCGCTCTATGGCAACCGGAAGCTGACTGACCTGATAGCTTCCGGTGCTCGTGATCGGTACGACTTGCTCTTGATGGAGCCGTTGGGCTTCGACTGCGTATCGTACCTGGCCGACTCTCTCGGTCTGCCTGTGATCTACGCGATCCCGTCGCCGATGATTACCTTCGCCGAGCGGCTGTTCACCGGCCATGTGTCCAACCCGGCTTGTGTGTCCAACATGTTTGCCAGCCACGCCGTGCCCGACACATTCGTCCAGAGGTTCACCAACACGGCGCTGCTGACGTACAGCATGGCCAAGACTAAGTACGACCAGCTGGTCACCTTGTTCACGGACCCGAGACCGTATGAACTGGCACCAACCGTCAATCCATCCATAATCTTCCAGAACGGTCATTACGTCACCGAGTCTCCGAGACCGATCACGCCGAACGTTATCTACGTGGGTGGCATACACCTAAAACCAACCAAAAAAATACCAAAAGTGAGTGATAGATAAACTACCGTTTGTAAGTAGATTCAATACCTCCGTTTATTGGATAAACATACATGTATACTTGTATACGTGTTCTAACATACTGATTTGAGTTCCACTCCAAAATCAATATTTAAGACATATTTTAATTTATTATGAAGTCGATTTCATATGTAAAACAGCCATAAAGAAAACACTAATTCAAATGCTTAAGCGTGTCGCTAAAGTCGCTTCACATGTACAGTCGTTGTACCTATCGTCGCGTACCCATCGACAACTTTACTGCCAGTGCCTGCGCGTATACGGCGATATTATGAATTAAAATATTGTCACCTCAGCACATCTTCTTTCGCTTGCCAGGCCTGTATTAATTAATTAATAATATTAACGGATTTAAATATTCCCACCTATATTACATATTTAATATATTGAATAATATTCTACTGACGACTGTCTACAATATACGACACGTCTTAGTACAGAAGTATAATAATATAATGTCTGTAAACTGAAAGATGTTGATAACATTGTTCGTAATATTTATTTATCATTATAATATTAGTCTATCTATAAATATGGCATTCGAGTTTTGGGGAGGTCTTTAATATGTCCAATACATTTTCCTTCCTAATTTTAGAGAATAAGTTGATATCGGCCGAAACGATCTATATAATGTACCTAGTCAATATTATAAAAGTTGTTAATTCTGTATAACATGAGTATGTATACTGTCATACATATTATAATTATAATATACAACTATGTATATTGTATAGGTACTTTAATTATCAATCTCAAGACATGTAATATTTAGGTAACTATATACAACAAACATAAATATAAATTCACCCAAATGATCGCTTAATATCCCACCCAGATGATATATGCTCTATCAGGTAAAATTTGGGTCATTCACCCAAATAAATGACGCCCCTCACCATGGATGTATAATTTTGAGAGTTTGTAATTTGCGCCAAAATAAAGATAGGTAATTTGCACCACTGCAAGTAGCCGCAAACAGTGTTTGTAACTTGCACCAAAATAAGGGTATGGAATTTTCATCACTGGTAGTGTAATATACGCTCTATACAATCAGGGGTGTGCTCAGAAAATTTATGTGAGGGGGGGGGGGGTTCAAGTAAAATAGAATTAGCTAGTCTTTTACCTATGGACCATTTTTTTTTTTTTTTTTCAACAACAAATTCAATTTATAAATTTAAATATTTTATTGCTAATATAGAATCTAGTTTTCTTGATTTTTTGTTCAATTCATTTAAAACTTCTTCTGCTGTTAGTGGAATTTCATTATGAACAGCTAACACAGCTAAGCCATTAAGTCGAGTCTAAAACCAAAAAATTTTTAAAAAAATTGATATAAATTTTTATTTTAATATCCAGAAAATACTTCAATCATTGTGTTTCGTAGATAAGATTTCAATCTTTTGAGACAAGAAAACGTTCTCTCAGGGGTGGATGTTGAAACAGGTACAGTGCATAGTATTTTTAATAGAAAATGTTAATTTATAAAATATTTCTTTATTACACTGTCTCAACGCTTCTAAAAATTTTTTTGGATATTTTACATGCCTATTGTTTGGTATACCATATATGTAGTTCAGTTTTAACTGTTAGCTTGTCAATATCGAGGTAAAATTCAACAAGTTCATCAAACTTTTCTGAATAAGTTCCAGAAAATAAACACTGAAATTCAAAAAAACAAATTTATATTTTGAGTACCTATTAAAAGTATATTAAAAATTATTCTTTGTCCAACCATTGAATATATTTTTATGACATAAAAATCTTGCTTCTAATTACTGAATGAATGAGTCTATGTATGGAATAGCAACAGTTACACGATAATAAGACCCAATTGCGTTGCAGTATCGGCAACTGCGGGGGAGTGTACATATTCGATGTTGGAAGCATTTAACGATGAAATACGAATTGGGAAAGTTTATGATATTAATATAATTCGACAAGTATATTATAAAGATGCATTATTTGTTTTATAATAAAGAATACAAATAATAAGGTCAATGGGGGGGGGGTTGAACCCCATATTACATATTTCTTAATATTACGATATTTCAAAATGTTTTACCATTTTTACTTTATTTTTCGCCTTTTTGACACTTTTTCTGCACCTTTTAAATTTTATTCAAGTAGTAGACGTCTTTTAAAGTTTAAAAAGCCTTTGACCATGCAGTTTTTATTTATATTCCGTTCGTAACATTCGCAAAATGATTATTTTCATTTTTTTGATCAGTTGCGTCTTTTTGCACAACATTTGTGCTGGAATCACGTATAGTACACGTCGTTTAAAGGCCATAGATGTGCAGTTCGTACGAAAAAAAAAACGGTTCGTACACATCAAAATCGCGTAGACATGACGCCGACGAGTGACTACCGTTTATATATTTACGTAATTGAGTACAGTATTTATATATTAATATATATATTTATTTTCTCTGTTAGTATGTGACTGAACTCCTCCTAAATGGCTGTACCAATTTTGATGACATTTTTTATGTCTGCTGGAGTGTATCCTTGAATGGTTTGGATTCAAAATTGGACTCGGTAGCCCTAACGCGGAATGTTGCTCAAACAGGGATTTTGAGATTTACGATGGATATATTATTTGTTTATTAATGGTTTTTATCGGTTACAGGAGAAATAATCAGTACCTAAATCTTAGTTTTTTTTTATTTGTATACAAATGTGTACCATTATTACTCAGGCAGATGAGATAAAAGCATCCATCAAATTATTATTACTTATTTATTTTCCGTAATAACTGAACATACATTTTAAATGGGAATTATAATTTATAGACTTGTATTAAATTACGTTCAGAAACCAAACATTTAGCACATAGAGTAAGATTTCCTGACTTGTTTTTAAACACTTCGTTTCGTGAAGAAACCAACACCAGGAAAATAGCGGGCAGAATAAAGTAGTAGGTACATAGTATTTTGAGTGAAACCATCTCAAAATGTTTAATAAAAATTGAATGTGTTTATGCGTGTATTGAAAATGGCATTTAAAAAGTGAACTAATACTGTATACTTACTAATGAATTTTGATTACTATATTTCATGTGTTCGTATATCGTATCTTCATGAAACGAATTATTTAAAAACAAGTTAAGAAAGCTCACTCTACTAGCGTGCTAAATACCCGGTTTCCATTAGCGAAACTAAAAATGTAATTAGGACAGGCCAAATTACAAATATAAAAAAGTTATAATTATTACAAAACAAATTTTTTAATTAAATTTTAAATTTTAGCAAGCCAGTATGTTATCCAATCCTTTGCCTGACTGGCTATACCCGTAGTTATGACTATGAATCAGCAGTTTCTAAATGTATTTTTAATTGAACCCAATAAATTATAATTTCATAATATACAAATTATTTACAGTAACTACAGATAATAAATAAATAAAAAAACAACAATATAATATTTCAACTGGGAAATAGGGTATTTTAAACATAATATGTTTAGAAAACTAAGAATAGTTTAAATTTTTATTTATTTATACCTATTATATAATCAAATACTTAGTGATTTATAATGTATGAAATTTACAAAAAATGGTCCAAAATAATATACTAAAATGTTATTAATAGTACTTAATACTAAAAGACAAGTTTATAGTTAAAAAAGTAGATTAGTGGATGTCGCTCTACTGCACAGTAGGTTACAATTGGGTCAATGAATAAAGGATTGTATTAAACTTGAATTCAATGATATAATATCATTGTCTAAGAAAAACAATTCTGAGAGGAGACTGTTTGTCAGTCTGAATATTGTTATTATTTATTATATCCTGTAAGTTGAATTTTTATTATAATAGGTAGGTATTATTATTTTTATTCGTTTCTATGGTGATAAACAAAGCGTTAGAAATTAAAAACCCATTTTTAGCTGTTTTTCCTAATTTGTCGGTGGTTTTTCCCGTAACATTAATTAATTATTGATAAAAATGACCTCTATATGTACTATAAGTACCATCTTTATACAATTTGCTAAAAGAGAAGGTACTATATATTGACATCGAAGAATTTCTTCTGGTAGTTATTTTGTATACAGGATAAAAAAATAAATAAAATAAACACCGTTGTAAAACCAATATGTTCCTCGCTCCACTCAGAATCTAAAATACTTAAAGTTCCAAAATATACTAAAATATGCAGCATACAATTTAATATAATTGGGACTACCTACGACTTACCAAGCATGCCTATTTTAATTTGGTCTACACGTGAACGACATAAGATAAAAAAGGTGGGCAAGTGGGTGTTGCTCTGCTGTGCAGTAAGTTACAAGTGGGTCACTGTATAATGGATGATATTAAATTTGAATTCAACGATATAATATCATTGTATAAGAAAAATGATTCTGAGCGGAGACGATATGTCAGTCTATGTATAAGACATATTATATACATATCTATGATATTAAACAAAAAATTGACCTATAATAGGTACCTATATAATAAATTCCAAATTAATCATATCACAATTATATCCATTAGGTACTTATAACGCGTTATACATCAACAAAAACCGTGATACTATCATAGATATATAATAGTACACTTTAGAAGTTTCAAGTACCCACGAATAATATTATTCAATCACAACAAAATAACTAAAATAGTTATTCTAGGTTTTTTAATATGTAATTTCGTCCAAATTTGAATTTAAAATGTCTGTAAAAAATAACAGTGTTCATATATTTTTTAGATTTTTTGGTTACAGTATGAAATATTTACGACAACCTTTGTGTTGAATTTGCAATCCTTAGCTATAAAAACTGAACATTTTATAATTTATTAATTACAATGATTGATAATTTTCGAGATTTTGATAAATTTTGTCAAAATTTGATCTTTAAATGCTTATAAAAAAAAAAACTGTGCCTATGTATTTTAATATTTTTCAACTGATATTGTAACAATATATCAGGAGCCTTGTATTAAATTTTTACACTTTTTGGCCCAACAGATAAAACTTTATTGATATTTATAGAAAAAAAAAACTAAAAAAAATTGAAAGCTGTAAATATCCGTAAATAGCTCAAAAAGAGTTTTTTCAAAAATATTTTCAAAATTGTATGGTGTATAGAAAATGCTAATTTAAACATTCAGTGAAATTTTCATGTATCTACAGTTGTTCGTTTTTGAATTGCAACAAAATAAAGAAATCGCTACATGAGTAATCGAGTGAAATAAGTGAATATCCAATGTTGTAAAAATTTGAATTTCAAACGCTCATAAAAATTTAATTTGACTTTCCGGTAGAGATTTTTTTATTGATAAAGGTAGACAAACTTATGAGTAATCTTGTATTACATTTTCAAATCTTAGATTTAAAAGGAAAATTTTTACAAATTCTTAACTCAAAATAATTCGTTAATTTTCGTGATTTTTCCATATTTTTACAATTTTTGAACTTTAAATGCTTATAAAAAAAATTGTGACTAAGGATTTTTAATATTTTTCATCTGCCTTTGAAACAATATATTAGGAGCCTTATATTAAATTTTCAAGCTTTCGCAACCAACAAATAAAATTTTATTGATATTTTTAGAAAAAAAAACTAAAAAAAAATGGAAAATGAAAATGTCCCTAAACAGTTCAAAATAAATCAAAATATTTTGAAAATGTTATCGTGTATAGAAAATGCAAATATAAACAACCAGTGAAAATGTCATGTATATACGTTCATTTGTTTTAGAGTTACACCAAAAACCAAAATCGATTTTTTGGAAAACCAATTTTGCGTAAAAATTCCCGTTTTTCCTTAATTTTTATGTTGTTTTTCCCGGCGCTTGTGAAAACTACTGGGAAATTTATACTTTTGACCCCCCAAAGTACCTACTAGATTCACTTTCCTATCAGAAAAGCTACCGATGAAGAAAATCCAAGTACTTTTACTGTCCTAAAACGTGATGACAGACACAAAAAAAAATTTTAAAACACACACATCATTGTAAAATCAATACATTCATCATTTCACTCAGAATCTAAAATGTAAAAATTTGCAAACATACTAATCTTTATTCTTTATTAACAATAATGATTTCTGATTGGCAACATTGGTTAATATAATAAATAATAATTATGTCAACATTGTTATAGGTTTGATAAAAAGTTGAATTATAAAATTGTGGTTAAAAAATCCTATTTCGTTTTTTGTCAATTATTAATAGAGAACAATTTGTCAAAACATGAATTTATTCTTGTTCAAATTTACGAGCATTAGAAAGAAAAAACATTTTTTTTGCATTCAAAAACATAAATTTGTATATATTTATTTGAAAGAATGTGAAATTCAATGGAATGCATAATACATAAAAATATAAGAGTTATGGTTTTTTTTTTAATTAAGTAACATCATAATTTTTTATTCAAGGACATATTAGATTTTATCGAAGGTTCACCTCAAGGAGTGATTTTCTTCACATTGTTGCCATATTATATTGTTGATTTTTATTATTTTATTACCAATAAATAGTTACGATTTTTGATAAACATAATCGATTATTGTCTATTTATTGTCCTTAGTTACTGTACATAAATTGTACATGGAAATTAATGAGTATAATATAAAGCATTGTATTAAATTACGTTTAGAAACCAGGAATTTAGCAAACACACAGAGTGAGCTTGCCTAATATGTTTTGAAATACTTCGTTTCATGAATATACAAACACCATTAAAATAGTAGGCAGAATATTGTAGTAGGTTTACCATATTATGAGTGATACCGTCACGAAACTCACGATTTTAAATGAGTCCACACCAAAAAAATATATAGCAATAGGTACCTATAACATATACTTATAATAAATAATATAATTTAATTTTGTGTATACGTGGATATTTTGACTGTTGATGTTTCGATCAACTCACTTAGTAATGCTACACAACTGTATAGTTAAATAATTTAAACTTTGATTTAAAAGTACATATCTGTATACTTAATAGAAGTACAATTCTACAGTTGTTAATTTTTTCTTAACTAACTGTGTGCTGATGTTACAAGTAAAACTTATTTACTTAAAATACGTAGGCATTATACGCTAAATAATTAATAGTGAACATTTATTGTCACTACATACAATATTCGTGTTAAAATTAACGAGTAATTGAAAGAATAAAAATTATTTTTTTGCATACAAAAACATTAATTTGTATTTTATTTTAATTAGGTACCTATTCAAAAGTCTGTAAATTTATTCGAATGCATATAAATATATAAGAATAACGGTTTTTATTTTAATTAAGTAACATCATACATTTTTATTCAAGGACATATTAGATTTTATCGAAGATTCACCCCAAGGAGTGATTTTCTTCACATTCGGCTCCACGATTAAAGTGTCATCGTTGCCGGGACATATTGAAAAGTCGTTTAAAGAAGCGTTTGCCGACATTCCTCAGAGAGTTTTGTGGAAATACGAAGGTGAAATGAAGGACAAACCGAAAAACGTGATGACGAGAAAATGGTTCCCTCAACGAGATATACTATGTAAGTATACATTTTACAATAGATTAACCAATCGTTGTTCAGTCCTGAGAAAAATTAAAAATTAATATATAATATTTTATACAGTACATCCCAAAGTGAAACTGTTCATCAGTCACGGAGGTATGTCCGGAGTGTACGAAGCTGTGGATGGCGGTGTTCCCGTACTGGGATTTCCAGTATTTTACGATCAGCCGAGAAACATTGAAAATTTGGTCCTCAATGGAATGGCGATATCCATGGACCTGTTGTCGACGACCAAAGAAAAACTGTCCAATGCCATTTCGGAACTCATAAACGATGAAAAGTAAGGTTTTGATGATTTTGTTTATTACGATTGAGACATTTGATTTCTCTACCCCTCTTTTTCAATAGTCGTTGTTAAATATCAATATTATATCGTGTGCGTATATGGTTTATAGATACGTGAAAAATGCTAAAATTGCTTCCAACCGTTTTAAAGACCGGCCGATGACACCTCAACAGTCGGTCGTATATTGGACGGAGTATGTAATCCGTCACAAGGGCGCACCACATTTGAAATCTCACGCTCTGAACCTCACTTGGTATCAATACCTCTTGTTAGATATAATTGCCGTAGTATTGATTTTTGTGTCCCTAGTCACATTTGTTGTCTTTAAGGTTTTCAAATGTATAAAAACTTTTAAAAAAGATAAAGTTAAAACTCAGTGACTATAGTGAGTCTAGGTGGTCAACGATGCAGTCATGATAGGACTATTTTACATGTAACTTTTTACATGGATTTGAGTCGTTAACTATTTTAAAAATTTTTTAATATTATACTATATTACGTCTTTTACTATTTTTATGAGTTATATAAACTGTAAATAATAAAATAATAAAATAATAATTATTTTGATGTAAAAGATAACTATTATTATTGTGTATTTGGCGATAGATAAGTGTAATATAACTTTTAAGGGGCCTGGTTTCAAATTTTCCGCAATTCTATAAAATTTGAAAATTAAATTTTATATTTTAGTTGCCACCTCAATTATAAGACTTTTCCACTAATATACTACCCAATACCTATTTAGGGTGTATTATATCGGTCAAAACACAGTTTACAGGAAAAACTCTCACACCTCGTAGATCGGTCCGATTTCCGTAATTTTTTTTTTGTTAGAAGAATATTTTTTACAGGGCGCATTGGACTTTTGATTACTTTGCTAAAAATAAATAATAATACAAAAACTAAATAGTTGTAAAAATGGATTAAATTCAAATTTGTAATATAAGATTTCGAAAAACAATTTTGAAAATCCAAGTCCAAGCGCCCTGCAATACGTCTTTCTCTATTTAACAAAAAAAAAATTACGGAAATCGGACCAATCTACAAGGCGTGAGAGTTTTTCCTGTAAGGCATGTTTTTGAGCAAAAAAAACAGGTCGCGACCAGGCCCCTTAAGTGTAATTAAAAGAAAACATTATTATTTATCACAATAATACTATAATGATAATTTATAGTGGAAATCGTTTATAACGACCAAGCCTTAGAACTTTATGCATCTGAATATTCGTTCGGAAAAACCTGATTCGATATAAAATTGTTTTGGGATGGTAAGGTTATAATTGAAAAAATGTGGGTAAGTGGATGTCGCTCTGCTGTACAGTAGGTTACAAGTGGGTCATTGTATAATTTATTGTATTTAACTTGAATTCAATGATACAATATCATTGTATAAGAAAAACGATTATGAGCGAAGACGGTTTGTCAGTCTGGATATTTTAAATTGTTATTAGTTATTATATCATGTAAGTTGAATTAATATTACAATATAATAATTTGTTATTCGTTTCTATCGCGATAAGCAATAAGCAGTAAAAATTAAAATCCAATTTTTCGTGGTTTTTAGTAATTTTTGGGTGGTTTTCCCCGATTATTGATAAAATCGAAAAATGACCTCTTTTAAGTAAAATCTTGATCCAATTTGCTAAGAGATAATTTACTTTATGTTGAAATCGAAGCACTACTTCTGGTAGAAATTATATACCGGATATAAAAAAAAATAAAGACCATTGTAAAACCACTATATAGCTTCTTCGCTTCGCTCGGAATCTAAAATGTTACCACATATTTTTCCGTTTTTTCTGCATTTTTTTCAATGAATGCATATTTTAAACATTATATTATAAGGTTTTATTTTAATTATTTTAATTATTATACTCAATTTGAATAGTTTATGAAAAAAATGTATTTTTTTTAAATAAAACATACAAATGTATTTTATTTTATATTATTTGATAATTTTATATTTTGATAATAATTATTACATTTTTTGATTACACAGATTGTAAATATCTGTTGTTTTGAATAAAAAAAAGTCTTAGACTTAAGATTTCCAAATATATATATAATATATAAAAATTCCCCAAAATTACACGTCATTACATAAGATTATTTGCATCTGTAAGATCAGTGTATATGACACGAACGTCATAGAAATAGCATATTATAAGGCATATGAGTTTTGCAGAGACATTTAATTTTAGGTTATTAACTAAGATAAGAAATAACAATGTATTGTAAATTGATGTGGGTCACGGGTGATGGTAGGGGTGATGTATACAAACACTAATTATCATTTACTACACACACAAAGACGATCAGTAATCGCAGTAACGAAATAATTGCCTAAGTACAACTCCTTAAAATTACACGTTTGCAGGGGCCTCATATCGAGTACCTATTTACGTGATTTCTTAATATGCCCATTAACCCTAGCAATCTAAACAAATTACTTCCTGTGGTTGATAATAATTATTTATGTAGGTACCTATCTATATACACATAGTGCGTAGACAGTACTCAATGGCACTATCATAATAATAATGTTTTATATATATATATATTGTGTATATAGCAACAACCCTCGTAATCTCCGAACCGCAATTCAACGTTTAATAATTATTCATAGCGTGTCGTATACTCGTATAGTCGTATGTAGTGTTAAAAAAATGCATATTATAGTCGGGTCGTAGGTACATTGTAAATATTACATTCTTATATATTCCGTGGAAACCTATATATAATAATAGTAATCTACTAAAAGCGTTTGTCGACATCAGCGGAACTCGTTTAGGAATTCTTTTTGCGGCGTCGCATACTAATACTATGACGTATTATGTGTGTTGTTCAGGTTACCTATAAAATATTATACACTCACGACATGGTTTTTCCGACTTGTCAGCGGATTTAATAATAACGCTTAGGTACGCCATAATAATTATAATTATAATAATAATAACACTTGACGTCGAAATCGCTAAATATCAAACCGCCGCCGCTGTCGTCGAAACAGTCTCCGGACGAGCTTATTGTGGACCACCTGAAACCTAAGCCAAGAGAGCGAGGATAGTGACAAACTCGAAATCACCTTTTGGCGAACCCTTGATAGCATACATTTCAATTCGAGTTTTTCGTAAGATTGTCGAAGCAACAACTACGAAAACTTTTCTGAAAGTCAATGTTTATAGTTAGGTATTTCGTGCTCAATTGATAGTAATATCGCCGTGTTCTACAATCAGTCTTTTGGCGATGAGTGTAGGGTAGTAAGTCAATGTTTATTTGTTGTAAATTGATAGTGAATCTATAGTGAACTTAATACCAATACACAAATTATTCGCTTTCAAATTTACAAGCATTTGAAAGAAAAGAAATGATTTTTTTTCATTCAAAAACGACAATAACATAAATTTGTATTTTTTTTTATATATACGAAAGTCTGTGATATTCAATGGAATGCATAAATATATAAAAATAATAATTTTATTGAAGAAGTAGGTAACATTATAATTTTCGATTCAAGGACATATTAGATTTTTTTCACTATTGCACAGTGTTCCAGAAAGTTGATTTAGGGGGACTAAATTAGAATTTTCATAATCAGTAATTGAACTTAAAACTGAAGTTAATTTGTTGATGGTCAGTGACTGATTTTATAATATAGGTTAGGTTAGGTTAGGTTAACCTAACCTAACCTAACCCACATATCGATACGCTATTGCATACAGTTATAATAGTGTACTGATATTTTGAGATAAGGTTTCCAATAACAAGCTAAATTGTTTAAGCTTATAGTTATTATCGTTCGTTGAATGAAGTGTAGTTCGTATATTTTTCTTCGGTATCATGGGTACACTAGTGAAAGGTTAATATTTAAATATGTAAAAAACTTTTTTTTTTTTTTAATCATTCAGGATACGAAAAAAAAAGTAGTGGGTAGTAGAGGTTTGAAGTTAGTGTTAGATCTATTAATTAATATTATATAATATAATTAATATTAATAATACCTAATATAATTATAATATCTGGGTTTATGCAAATTATTATTAGAACATTATCTTAAATGTAAAAATAAATAATCAGTTGTATTTTTTGCAAAATTCTCATACGAATCGAGGTGTCACATCATTTTTGAGCTTGTCGGGTGTTTTTCACGCATGTTTTTCGAATCACCGACTAAAAAAAAAAATGATCTGGTACATGGATTTGTATGAGAAAATTACAAGATAAATAGTGGTGGTAGTTATTTGTTGTTATTTAAAATGCATGATTAATTAACGCATTATTTTACATTGTCAACTAATAAAAATGATAAAATAATAACAAAATTAGGGTTACAAAGTTTTAAATGGTCGAATGTATATTGATTTGTATGATTTAAATGTACAAATAATAAAATATGGTAACTTTTATCTGTGCTGTCTATTATAAAATAACTAATTGACCGTAATTTTTACATTAAGAACAGTAATTAGTTGATTTTATTATAGCTGAGTTCAATACTGGAGTTTCAATATCCATTGAACAACACTTTAAATTTATTTTTAAGATTTAAGTTTTTAATGTACATTTTGAATAATGGAGTACACTAACATTGAATATAATTCAGAATGAACATGTTTATGTCAAAGAATTACCTGAATAATAGAGATGAACTTTTGATGAGAATTAATAATGTAGCAGATATCATTCGTCAAACTCCAAATTTGTTGAAAAAAACTTAGAATTCATTACATCGTCGGATCGAAAGTGCATCGAAGTTAACGGGAGTTACATACTCACATTGAACAACTATAGATAAAAATAGGTTTTCAAAATAAAGAGTATTTAATTATGATTATTTTACAATGTAACACAACTTAAATGTATGTCAGTAAATTTGATAATTTAAAACTTTGTTAACCCTAATTTTGTTATTATTTTATCATTTTTATTGGTTGGCAATGTAAAATAATACGTTAATTAATTATGTTAAATGACAACAAATAAATAGCACCACTGTTTATCTTGTAGTGTTCTCATACAAATCGATGAGCCACACCTTTATTTTTTATTCGGCGATTCGAACGTGAAAAACGCGCGACAAGAGCGAAAATGATGTGACACCTCGATTCATATCAGAATTTTGCAAAAAATCGAACTTGACCATTTATTTTTACATTTAAGATAATGTTCTACAAATAATTTGTGTAAGCCCAGATTTTGAAAATAGGAAAAAATTTAAAAAAAATCTTCATTGGGCTATCACACGGAGTACGCCTATACTAGTTACCTCATCCATTTCAGAAACACACTGTACATTTAATTTGAAAAATAATCCTATTGATTTTTATAACGTAACGTTGGAATTCAAAAATTTGGTTTAAGGACTTTATGAATGAACAACG